CAGGCTGTTATTTCTGTTGTTATCCAATGGATGTCACTGTAGGAAATGCTCCCCCCTTCCCACTCCCTCTTACTAATGAAGAGGAAATTCTAATTGAAAATCACAACCATACATGCCAGCGAATGGATTGTGATTTGAGCTCTGAAGAGTAATATAGTCTCTCTCCACTTGTATCAGCTCTTTCTATCCTGAGTCCTCCCTCCCCCCATACTTGGCTAATTTAAAGTACTCTGCTCTGCAGGAAGCATGGCAGAAACAATGGCTGAAGAGGCAGCGTCCAGAGCCTCCCTGCTGGATGACCCAAGGCTGTGTGTCTCCATTTCCTGTGTGTAAGAACAATATGTAGTATATAGTGAAGACAGTAACAGCTGTGGCATAGCTGACAAGGAGCAGAAAATGAGGCAATGCAAGTTAAGTCTTGTGGTGGTTTAAATGAGAATGGCCTCCATAGGCTCATATGTGTGAATACTTGGTCTCCAGTTAGTGGGACTGTTTGAGAAAGATTTGGAGGTGTGGCCTTGCTGGAAAAGGTATGTCACTGGAGGTGGGCTCTGGGATTTACAAAACAAAACAAAAAACCCTCGCACTGTTCCTGGTTAGCACTCTCTGCCTCTTGCTTGTGAATCCAGATGTGTGATCTCAGCTGTTCTTTTGTTCCACCATCAGGACTCCAACCCTCTGGAACCATAATCCCAATCAAAAGCTCTCTTTTATAAGTTGTCTTGGTCATGATTGTCTTGCCACAATAGAAAAGCAACTAAGACAGGCCTTTAGTATGGAGTAAGTCCTCACCAACTGGTAGCATGAAGAAAATTGGAGCCTGGGCCTGAGGGAAGCCTCCTCATGTGCTTCTCCTGTGAGGCAGCACATTTAGAAATAAGCAGAAACTTGGCCACAGGGCTGTGTAGGCTTTCATTGTTCTCTTTGCCTGTCTTTGTTGTGGATGTAAACATGTCTTCATTTTGATCCCAAGTGTAGGATATGGGACTGATTCAGATTGTCCACAGCAGCAAACTATTTGCCTGGTACAGCAAACCCTGAGAGGGTCCCTTTGCCAGCTACAGATAGTTTAAATCTGAGGACTTTGAGAGGGAATAAATGCCATGGCTAAGAGAGAGACAGAGACAGAGTCAGAGATCCAGGCAGAGATAGACAGGCAGACAGACAGAGACAGAGATGGAGAGAGACGGAGATAGACACAGAGAGAGAGGAGAGAGAGCTATTGAGCTCTGAGAAAGAAGGCTGCTAATGCCAACCCCACCCCCATGCTCCTGATTGCTGTTGATGCAGGTGAATGAGAAGAAGTTGGAGACATCCTGAAGTACGGATAGGACTTGACCCAAAGAACACAACAACCCTAGCTAGCAGGAAGTAGCTAAAGAAAACTCAGTCCCTTCTCCCCACTAATCTTTTTCTCCTACCTGTGTTGGGGTGTTGGAAGGGATTGGGGTGGAGAAGGGAGAAAGAGGCATTTAAAAACATAAATAAAATAGTATTAAAAAGTAGCACCAACATGTCTTGGTCAGTGTTATGTTTAAATCTGAAGCGGCCTCCATGGACTCATGCTTTAAATACTTGTTCCCCAGTTGGTGGCACTATTCCAGGAGGCTTGTGGAATCGCTAGATGGCACCATCTAGCTGGTGGGAGGTTTTTAGAGTGGCCCTTTGAAGGTTAGTTATACACAGAGACTGGTTCCTCCCCCCGCCCTCTGCCCCTTAGTCTGCAGTGCTGTGAACAGATCCTGCCATACACTCCCGCTGCTGTGAACAGATGGACTGAAATTGTGAGCTCAGATAGATCAATTTTTTAAAGCTTGTCTCTGTCAGGTGCCAATGCAGCAAGGGAAAGTAACTAATCCTGAAAATTGGTGTCAGGGAGGTGTGGACACTGTTATAGTTAAGTTTGCCCATGTGGTTCTTAGACCTTTCAAAGTGGCTTTTCAGGGGATGTTTGGAAGGATTTGGAGATGCAGGGATTCTGGAGAACCCCTAGAATGAACAAGAAAGCTTGGTGGGTGCTTCTGGTGGGAGTTCAACAGACCTGAACACACACAGTGAAGATCTGGCTCATGTGTTTGTTTTGTTTTGCTTTTGAGACAGGGTCTCTCTACATAGGCCTGGCTGTCCTAGAACTCATAGGCTAGACTGTCCTGGAACTCATCTCTTCTCCCTAGTGCTGAGATTAAAGGTGTGTCCTACCATGCTCAGCAAGAGGGTTTGTGTATATATATATATATATATATATATATATATATATATATATATATATA